GCTCCGGTACTCCTGTTGCCCCGTGGTGGTGCTCCCCGACACTTTGGTAAGTGTTCTGTTTTCCTTTCAGCACGATACTGACCAGATGTAGTTTGGGCTGTAGCTGGGCATGGGCACACGTTTCCTGGTTGACAAGAATTTGCATAAAGAGGGCAGAAGAGCATGCACAGGACTTCACTTCTAATCAGAGGGGCTGGAGAGTCCTCCCTTCTCCAGGGAGTGGGGACCTTCTTCAGTAGGCCACTCCTGCTTGCCCCCAGGACCTGGCATGGCCAAGCGAGCAGGGGTGTAGCACAGCTATGGATGCTCGGCAGCTCAGGAGTCATGCACAGTCTTACCCTTCCAGACTGGTCTGCCGAGGGCAATTGGCCCCTTCCCATGATTATAACAGCAGCTGCATCCAGTAACTTGTTCTGACATAACATATTCAATTCACCTGCCAGGAGCCTCATTGGTTCTCAGGGTGAAGTGCATGGGTGTGGATGTGGGAGGCATAGATTGTGCTTTGCTTTGGCTGGGGGCCAGGAACAATCTGGACTTGCCCTAAAGGTTAGGATCTCCATCTGTTTTCTCAGCTCCTTTCAAGCCCAGGATTCTTATCTCGCTCCTGAGGACACTGGCCCACAGGTCTGAGGCTCCCCAGCGTGGGTAGTCCTGTGTGCCCATGCCTGGATTGGGAGAAGCAAAAGCAGACCTCTAGCAGCGCCCCGCCCCAACCCCCAGGTTCCATCTGGCTGGCTCCTGTGCCCATCCGCCAGACCTCAACACACAAAGCAACACAAAGCCAAAACAAGACAACAAAATCCAACCCATTCCTATCACCTCAGAGATTTCTTCTCACAGCTCTCTCCTAGGAGGAGGGTTAGCAGCCAGCTCCTCAGAAGCAACTGGAGCTGGAACTGCCTTCCAGCTACATATTCCTGTAGTTCTGCTTCAGCCCGGAATCGCTCTGGCAGGAGTCACTTTTGTGACAGCTGCATGGCCCTGAAGGGAGGGCCGTACTCTCCCCACGCAGGAGAAACGGTTCTCCCTCATGCAGTCTTCAGGACACCCCCACACCCTGCTACCTGAAGCCCGTTCTCCTTTTCTCTCCATTACTTCCAGGCAGTTATCACTTTAGCTTAGATTGGTACAGGGTTAAGCACCAGGCACTGTTCGAAGGCTTCACATATAGCGTATTGACTCCTTTCATTTCCCCCTTTTCATAAAGCTTAGCAATGTGCTTTTCATCAGGCCCCCTCCAGCCCAGTCTGAATGGTTTGCTAAATGGTTTACTGCTGACCATGAAGGCAATGTGGTGTATCAAACAGGGCAGGCCTCATTCCCCTCGAGAAGAACTTGAGGGGCTCACAGTTCCCCAGAGCAGAAAAGGATGTGTATTCTGCAGTGGTTGGTATAGTGTTTTATAAATATCAATTGGGTCAAAATGTTGGATGATACTGTTCACACTTTTTGTGTAGTTCTATTAGTTATTGAGGGAGAGACAACAAAATCTCTAACTATGAGTGTGGTGGTGTCTGTCCTTTTATGTCAGTTTTTCCTTCATGTATTTTGAAGCTCTGTTTTAGGAGCTTGGATATTTGTGGTTGATATATCTTCCTGAGTAATTGGGCCTTTTATCATCATGAAATGTCCCTCCTTTTCTCTGGCAATACTCATCTTGATATCATTATAGCTTTTTTTCGGCTTACTGTTTGTATGGTTTATCTTCTTTTCAGATTCGACTTTAAACTTATCTTTGTCCTCACATTTAAAGTGTGTCTCTTATCGTAGCATATAGTTAGCCTTTCAAAAAAACATACAAAAACAAAACAAAACATTCCAACAGTCTTTGCCATTTAATTGGAATGGTTAGTCCATTTAACACTTAACTCTGGTCCTGTCACTTTCTGACTTTTGTGTTTGCACACTGGTTCTTCAAGCCAGAAGGACTGTCATTGTTTATGGCACCAAGAGAGACCTGTCCTCAGACAAGGAACTGTGAAAAAAGGGAAACTCGCCCAGTGACATTCCCTTCTTCCAAGTGTCAACTTACAGGTTGCTCTCCAGTGACTCAAGGAAGCTAGTTTCTATTTTGATCAGGTTTTGAAGGTGTTATCTGTAGGAGATTGGCTTGATTGGTGCGCCTCTGGCATAAGTAGAAGCGGTTCCCTGCAGCGAAAGCTGCGAGCCTGAACCAATCCAAAGTGATGATGATGGAAGGGAAGCGATACTGGCTCAGGCAGGTCCACTTGCCCTTCTTCCCCAGACATGGTGAACAGTTCAGCCTTTCTCAGTTGGATTCCATCAAGCAGTCACCCTTTGTGGTTTTCCTTTCAACTCTGTTGCCCATGCTTACCCTCTACTCACAGACCATTCCATTTCTAACAGCCTCTCTCATTATTCCTCTTCTGGTCCTACATTCATCAGCCCAGCAGTTTCCTCCCTAGGATCAGGGGCACTAGGATCCTTCCAGGACCCAGTGTCTTGTTAGTGAGCACAGAGTAAAGGTCAGGGGAAGAACCATGTAAAGGGCCAGTTCCTTATAGAATTTCAGATGCACATGAAGAGGCCTTAAATGAGAAGAAATCCTAGGAATCCTAATGCATTATGAGCCACACCCTACAAATAGCTTTTGGAGGAATCCAAACAACTTAGATGAGACCAGAGACAAGGACAGTCTATGGGAGCATGATCACTTTCACCCACAGGAGGTAGATATCACTACCCTGGACTACCTTTTGCTTCTCTGTTCTCCTTATCATCCTTCCCACATCGCTTCAGTGTCTGTTCCTACATGCATTCCTTTCCACGAGGCCTTTAATTTTTACTGTTTCTCCCTAGGTTTTTTAAGAGGAAAATTTATCTGAGTATATGCATTTCCCATAGTGCTGTGTGAGAAGTAGATCACTAGCATCCATTAAATCCCAAACAGATTCTGGAGCTGCCCATCACCACTGCCATCTCCCTACCTCTCAGCCTTGACTTTGGTATAGTCTAGATCCGTGGTCAGCAAACCGCAGCTCGCGGGCCACATGCGGCTCTTTGGCCCCTTGAGTGTGGCTTGAAAGTTTGTTTTAACCTATGGGACAACAGTTTTGCACCTTCTGAGATTCTGGACCCCATGCGGCGTGCACGTACAGTGCGATTGAAACGTCGTGGTCCATGTGCAGAAGTCGGTATTTTGTGGAAGAGCTGGTATTTTGTGGAAGAGCCACACTCAAGGGGCAAAAGAGCCACATGTGGCTCGCGAGTCGCGGTTTGCCGAGCCGCAGTTTGCCGATCACTGGTCTAGCTGCACTTCAACATTTGCATTAGTTACAATCTTCCAAACTATTAAAAAAAAGCAACTTCTAGCCATCGTTGCAAAATCCACACATCTTTCCAATTAAACCATGGAAAATTACCAAGTGGAAATCCTTGACAACTCTTTAAAGCGCTCTATTGAAAAAAAGAACAAAACTAAAAAAAAAAAAAAAAAAAGCCCTATTGAGTTTGTGTTTATTTATCTATTTGGATTAAATATTTCATGTCCATATCTTTAATTTTATAGTTGGTGATGATTGCACTCTGAAATACACCATTAAGAATGTCTTTGCATTCAAGTTGATATCACCAAGTAATATTCTAAAGCAGAAACACATACGCAAGGAAACTTATAGTAAGACTTCTAAGTATATATTCCAGATCTAAAAATATAATTTCTTTTCCTTGTCTTTCATCCATACTTGCTTCATGGATATGGAGGCTTTGGTGCTAAAGTGAGAATGACTCCCTTTATTCTATCTCTTCTTGCTGTCGCATTACACTGTAATGTGGGTGGCCCCATAATGATGGCCCCTAGTTAGTCATTCTTCAATGGACCATCCCAAGTATGACTTTGTGTGCTTCATAGAAAATGGAGTTTCTGAGATCAGATGCCTCTGGGGCCTAGATAGGTACAAAAAAAAAGTGTGCAGTGCAATGACTGTAATTCAATAGGGTCAGATAGTGAGGACCATGGCAGACACGTTCCAGCTAAACAAGACAGCTGCTTCTCAGTTCCAGCAGGTTGCTGCCAAGAGGGAATGCACATGAGCCAGTGTTACAAGATCTTCAAGTTTTAAGTGAGAAACAAACAAACAAAAATCTAGACTTTAATGAGAAATCTGATTTTTAAACTTTGAAAACGAATTCAAACTGATATATGTCAGCTGAACCATGCTTGAAAGTTTGTTTTAACCTGTGGGACAACAGTTTTGCACCTTCTGAGATTCTGGGGTTGTGCTGTTTTACTTTAATGTTCTAGAACTATATTCTCCAGTATAGTAGCCACTCACCATATGTGACTGTTGAGCACCTGAAATGTGGCTAGTCCCAAGTGAGGTGTGCTGTAAATATAAAACACGATAGATTTTGAAGAGTCATTAAAAAAAAGGATAGAAAATATTTTATTGATATTTTTATATTAGTTACTTGTTGAAATGATATTTATTTATTTTAAATAAAATATACTATTACTTTTAACTTTACCTGTTTCTTTTTTTAAATTTTTTAAAATATATTTTATTGATTTTTTTTTTTTACAGAGAGGAAGGGAGAGGGACAGAGAGTCAGAAACATCGATGAGAGAGAAACATTGACCAGCTGCCTCCTGCACACCCCCCACTGGGGATGTGCCCGCAACCAAGGCACATGCCCTTGACCGGAATTGATCCTGGTACCTTTCAGTCGCAGGCTGACGCTCTATCCACTGAGCCAAACTGGTCACGGCTACCTGTTTCTTTTTACTTTTTAAACATGTGCTATTAGAGAATTTTAAATTGCATTTGTAGCTCACTTTATATTCCTATTGGATAGTGCTGCTCCAGAATTTAAAAAATAATCCAGTATAACACTGCAGATTTAGGTAGCCAGTGTCCTGAGAATCTGACTGGGCCAGCAGCTGTGAACTGGTGGTGGGTTCCACAAAGGCAGCCCTGCTCAGTGAGCCCTGTGTGGGCATTGTCCTTTCCCATGATTTGCCCGAGGCTAAGAGTGAGATCCCCTGAAGCTGCCTCTTTACAAACAAGGATCAAGGCCAACTGACTGTCTGAAGCTGATGTCTCCTGGGGACGGAGGCGGAGGAAACCACTGTGCCTGTTTATCTGTGCTCACCTGCCACTCTTCGGAGTGATGACGGGGAGACCAAGGGAGATAACTGCAGAGGTACCTCCTGAATTCGGTGGAGGTGAGCAAGTTAGCAATGGTTGGGGAGTATCCCTCTGAAAAGTTGGTACCTGCATTTTTACAACTGGCTTTGCTTATGTTTTGGGGTCCCTGGGAGAAAATGGCAGGAACATGAAATATGAGTAAGGAATGGATTTGTGTTTCGGGAGTGCCATCTCTGGACTGGGCACCCTGCTAGGTGCTGTAGGTAGAGCATCTCAGACCAGGTCGTTATTTTCAGAGCTCGCTGGTAGAATAAAATTAGACTTTTTTAAATCTTTTTTACCAGAATTACATTCTGGGCTTTTATGAGGCAGGGTCCCAGAGAGAGGAGCACTGATGGAGCTGGGTCCCAGCAGATCTGCTGTTCAGTGGACTGGGAGACATCTCCGTAAATGCTGGAAGGCCCTGATCAAGGAGTTAGAATTGTTTTGGGGCTTTTTGCTGCTTAAAAGTTAATTAACCAAATAATTGGGATTTTGTGATAGTGTTACAACTACTATTTTAGTACGACTATTCATCTAATAAATATTAATGGGAATTACTTTTCAGAAAATCACCAATTCACCCCAGAAGTTAATCAGCTGCAGAAGGGAAGATGTGGAAGCCTGTGCCACGACCGTGCTGTCTTCTGAGGAACTCTTCAGGACCTGATCGAGGAGGCGTGGGGAAGGCCCACATGAAGCCGAGAAACCTGGTCTGCATGACACAGGGGGAAAGGCTGTGCTTCTGTGTTTCTGTTTTCCTCCAAGGACAAGAGAAGTCAGAAGAGCCTACTGTGTCCATTTCTAGAAGCAACTGTCAGAGGCAGAGTGGTTTGGCAGACAAAGCACTGAGTGGGGGCAGATGTGCCTGCAGAACTGGATCTATCTGCCATCCACTAGCTGAATGACCGTGGGAAAGTGACTTGTTCTCTCTGGCTCTCAGTTTTCTCATCTACAAAATGGGTGGATTAAGTATACAACTGTTATACCGTATATATTCAGCACTGGCCGAGCTGTAGGGCAATTGGTGACGCTGTACATTGCAATTGGTGCGGCTCTTCTGAAGAGCAGTATGTAAAAGTATAACAGGCATGATCAGAGACTCTATACACCAAGTGGGTTTGGAGATCCCACTTTCCTAGAGGAAACCTTGAAAAGGAAAGGAAGGATGGGTACAGTGGTGTTGGTTTCACTTTAAGCCAATGCCTGTGCAGAGGTGAATGGCTCAGCCTGCCCTACAATGAAACTGGGACGTGGACGAATGCTGTGAGTACATGAAATACTGTAAACGGTAAATAGTGTGTGCACATTGAGGACAGCAGCTAAAATGTATGTGTATGATGAGACGACAACACAGAAGGATGTCAATAAGTGCGCTATTTGCTATGTTCCTTTTTCCTGTAGGGTTGTTAAAGTATAGAACTAAAAGTAGAAAGGGGTCACCTTGGGTAATCATTTTGGTTTCTTCCAAAAAAGTGATCTTTAGGGTTCTAGTTATATCAAGGACCTTGAGTCCAGAGAGGCCACTGAAGACAACCTTTGGTCAGGAGGTGTAGGGGCGACCTTAGGTCAGGGATGGGGCAGGAGAAGAATAAGGGGGCATGAGAACTCCAACTGAGGCAGCTGGCCAAAGCCTCCCCTGGTCAGGGGGCTCCTGGGTCTTCCTGGAGGCCTCACGCTACAGGGAATCCCTTTGGGGATCTCTTTTCCTTAAGAGGCCTGCCTCTGGAAGCCTCTTCCTTTCCCTCTCCTTCACGAGGAGGGGAAAAGAGGGTCAGAGAACGAATGGAGAGGGGAAGTTTTTTTTGGCAAAGTGATTGATGGGCAAGGCCTGTGCCTCTCCCTTCTTAGCCCCCACCCCTAACCGCTCTGGAGCTTCTGAGCTGATTGTCTCCATGCCCACTTCCTGGTCCTCTTCCAGCCAGCCCAGTGGGGGCCATCTAACTGACTCAACCAGGTGTTTCCCCCTACAAGATAGAGGCTTACAACCATCTCTCCACCTGGTGGGGTTTCAAGTGATCAAAGGATGGGATCTCTCAAGATGAGATACTTGAAGATCTTTTCCTTTGTACTATTTTGTATGCTTTTGTGTTGTTTGACTCTTTCGTGAAGGGTATTTGTTAATTTTATATTTGGCTTACACTGAAAACATTTTCATTTTGCAAAAATAAAAACTATTCTACTTCACTGATCACCACATTCCCTCTTCCCTCTTCCCAGCCTCTCCACTCTGGCCACTGTTCCTCTGTACCTGTCCAAGTTCAGGACCCAGAAATGACCCAGGACTTCCCTTTGCTTGAGTCTCTCTTACAATTGTCCCAGGGCCCATCCATTCTTGCTGGTATATGTGGGTATACAGAAAGTTCTATTGATTATTCTGTTGTTTTCTCAGGTCCCCAGAAAACATTCACTGAAGCCCAAACACACCAGACACTAAGCTAATACCCAGAGGGGCTGCCTTCTCTGTAGCTGGTTACGTCCTTCTCTCCTGGAGCACTATGTCCTGACACCCCAGGCCTCCTTTCCCCCCTTCCAGGACACTTTAACAGTAAAAAGGGGCACAAGTAATAACTCCAATAGGATGACAATGGAAGACTGACTATGTGTTGCAGTCCTTGTTATTGCTCAACCCAGTAGAGTGTGCCTGAACCCAGGATCAAGCCCAGCTTTCTTAGTCCTGCCTTCAGGGTCCAATAAACAAAAACCCCAAAAGGAGAATCTAAAAGGAGCATCCCAAAGGAGAATCTTGGCTGACATCAACTGACAATAAATTGGAAAAGTCATGAGTCCATAAGGATACACAAAACAGCAAATGCTAATACAATGAATTCTCAAAAAAGGTGAGTGGAGTGCATTTATACTTAGTCTTGTTATTAAATCGTGTTGGGCTTATTGACTCACTGTATCAATGAAGAATACTAGTAAATGTAAATATACCAATCAGAAGCATTTTTCTCTATCACCATTTCCAGACCCAAGTCAGACCGAGGGTCACCTGAACGCTTGCATCAGCCTCCTCACCAGCTGCTCTACTTGCAATCTTTCTGCACCTGCCCATCGCCTGTCCTGCCAGGGAGTCCATGCCTAAGTTCTTTTAAGATCCTTCTACAGTGGGGCCCAGTTGGTGTGGCTCTGTGGCTGAGTGCCGACCTATGAACCAGGAGGTCATGGTTTGATTCCTGGTCAGGGAATATGCCCAGGTTGCAGGCTCGATCCCCAATAGGGGACATGCAGGAGGCAGCTGATCAATGATTCTCTCTCATCATTGATGTTTCTAGCTCTCTCCCCCTCTCCCTTCCTCTCTGAATCAGTAAAAATATATGAAAAAAATAAAAGATCCTTCTACAGTGGTGGAGGGAGGCAAGGGAAGGGAAAATGGGAGACATCTGTAATATGCTCAACAATAAAAAGAATCCTTCTACAGAGGGACTGTAGACTATCTGCCTACCTAACCTCTGTGCTACTCCACCCCATCTCTTAAAATTTTTTTACCTTTATTTTCTGTGTGCTTTATTTTTCCTTAGGCTAACTTCCTGTGGGTGCAGATCTCTGTTTCCTTTCAATCCGGTGTGACTCACTTCCTTCAGGGAAAGTTCGCCCGTTGAGCCCACCTGGGAGGATCTCATTCCGTCTACGGGTGTCTGGCGCCACCTTGTGTTGAGTGCTGGAAAATTCTGTTCCCACTTGCTGAGATAAAGGAAAACTCAGACAAATTTCCTCGAGTGAGAACTCAATTACAAAACTTCCACGGGCGTGGCCCCTCACAAACCTTCACTGTCATTAGTGGGTTTAGAGTTCAGGAGCCGCAGTCTCCTCACTTGTGTTCATCTGGAAGTTAGGGGCTTCCCTCTGCTCACAGAGCTCTTCCTGCTGGGGCCTTGGCCTCTGCCTCACTCTCCTGTCTTTCCTCTGCGCTGCCCTTTCCTATCTTTTAACTCCCCCTCTCCCCCCATTTGCTCCTTTGTGTATTCTTATGGACTCATGACTTTTCAAAAAATGCTTCTGCTTGCTGTATTTACAGTATATCTAGCCTATCCCTGGGCTAGACTGACTTTCTGGGGGTGTTCCTCAGGCCATGAAATAGGACAAGGAGTCATATGGAATTACTGTGAATTTTGGAAATGCCATACAAGGGTTGACTTAAAATCGCAGTTTTCTCTTACTGGCTCAAGGCTTCAGGTCCTCAAGCACCTACCAACAAAGCCTGGAAAAACCCATCCTTCCCAGGGGCGGGAGCACCACATGTGGAAGCAAAAGGAAGACACAGCCCTTCCTGCCTCCCTCAGTGAGAGGCTGCAAAACCCCATTAAGGAGGAAAAAACTGAGCTGGAGCCTTCTCAGGAACCTGCAAAAAGCCCCAAGAGCAAAAGCACAAACTCCTACTGTAGAGGAGACGTATGCCCCTGGTCCTTTCATAGGACCCCATGGGGGAAATTGTAAGAAACCACTTAAAAAAACCTGATTGTTGGAAAAATAAGTGCCTGTACACACCACAGGAACGCCCACATTTTCCTCTGTACTTAAACCACTGATCTGCAATGTGGTCGCACACCTCTAAATTTCCGGGAGATGCCAGTACGTCTTCTATCAAATTGCTTCAGCGTAAGATGAAGCCTACAAGTATCAGCTTGGGTTTCTAGCCTTAGGAGATCATACCCACAAGTAGGCCATCAAATGTCATCCCACCCACGTTAACCACATAGAAGGGTTTTCTCAGATGAGGCCTGTTGCACTGAAGTTAACTCACCACTGTCTCACCTTCACTTTTGAGTCTTGAAGTTGGAACTAGTTCAAGATGGAATAACCCCCTCTCCTCAGATTAAGCCCAGATTATGGATGGCCAATGGGGTGGAGGATTACTGTATTTCAAATGAAGATTCTAATTTAGCAGATGGCAGCAAGTAGATGCTGAAATTTAAAGATGTGTAACTGTAAGCAGCTTAGTTTTAATTTATGAGATAAATTTTTTTGTCAGGTAGAAGGACTTGTCTTCCTTCCTCAGTTTTTCCTGCTTGCTCCTGCAATGCTCAGTGTTCCTGCTTGCTCCCTTTGCTTGAAGGCAGAAGGCTCTGGGCAGTGAAGCTGTGAATAGCTGTGGTGATCTTGCAGGTACGTCAAAGCACCTCATTAGAGCTCCTGGCCACCCTATTGAAGTGGAGGGATGTAAGCAATGGCGCTCACTGGCTCCTGGGCCTGGAGAATTCCCGCGGCTCCCCTGGCTTCCCAGCCTTCTCTATTCTCTTTCTCTTGTTCAGAGTTTCAGCCCTCCGTCGTCTCACAGGAGTACTTCTCTCTATTTGTGTATATTTTAGTTTGCTCATGGGAGAGGGTGAGTTCCGTGTCCTCCTATGCTGCTGCCCTCTTGGACCTCTAAATGTCACCACTTTGGAGGTGAGCTTGTCTACTCTATCTCACTCTATTGAAAGACTGAGTGAGTTAACCTGGGGCGGGGCCATGTCACACCATCTTTATGGACCAATAATGAAGACTAAACCTGCAGAGTAAGCCGATGACATGCAGCCCAGTGGGAGAAGGAATGGGTCTACATAGGCTGGGCTTCAAAGTTCATGTAGGAATGGAGATGAATGTACTCCATGCGTGGCCAGAGAGTGGGACCCATGCTCAGCACGTGAAGCTGGGGTTGAGGCTGGTTGTGTGGTCTATCCAGTGAAGGGAGGCTGACAGCACTCCAGGAATGTGCTGCTTGCCCATGGTGCAGAAAGCAAAAGGGGCATCTTTGTAAAAAAATGGGAACCGGTTCTAACAGTTTGGTTGACTTAAATATGGGCCAAAAGGCAGCCCACGGTGAGAAAATTAAAAGTGCCCTGGCCAGGTTGGCTTAGTTGGTTGGAGCTTTGTCCCGTATACTGAAAGGTTGCGCATTTGATTCCTGGTCAGGGCACATGCCTAGGTTGTGGGTTCTATCTCTGGTCAGGGCACATACAGGAGACAACTGAACAATGTTTCTCTCACACATCAGTGTCTGTCTGTCTGTCTGTCTCTCGCCTTTCCCCTCTCTCTAAAATCAACAATCATGTCCTCAGATGAGGATTTGAAAGAAAATGGCTGACCTCCCCTGGCTTAATGTAGAGGAAGGAATTCAAAGTCTTAAGGAGACTGGAATGTGAGAGTGGATTTATCATATAAGACCTACTCACCCACATGGGCTGGTCCAGAAGACAAACCTTTTCCAATACTGTAAAGAATAAATTTGTGCAGGAGGCCCAGCATCCTTGAAGAGCTCTGTGACCACTCTTCTAAGCAGGTTAGGCCATACAGTGGGAGCTGCACTCATTGAATTGAGAAACCTAAACGCAATGGGAGCAATTGAACCTGGGGCCAAGTGGTGACCTGCACCAAAGGCAAGGTAGACATGGTTAGCGTAACGGATAACCAAGAGTCAAAGCCGTGGTCAAAATAATCAGACTCACACAGATCTATGACATTAGGTAGTTGGCCATAAAGTTCTTAGAAGCCTACTAAATTTTCACTTGATCTGTGTAAGCAGAAAAGTTCTAGATCAAGTGAACAAGAGTCTAATCTGATTCATAAAAACAGAGTCATGGCCCTTCAATCAATCCCCAGACTTGAGAGCTAGTTTACAGACCTAGAGCCCCTTGAATGAAGGGAGGCTAGGTCCCCTTTAGGAAGGACCCTGGTGTGTGTTATGTGCCATTGAGTCGGCTCCAACTCCTGGAGACCCTGTGAATGAGTGATGCCCACATGCCCTGTGCTCAGCAGCCCTGCTCAGCTCCTGTAGACTCATGCCCATGGCTTCTTTATGGAGTCAACCCATCTCATGTTTGGCCTACCGCTTTCCTACTGTCGCCTATTCTCCCCAACACTGTTGCCTTTTCCAAAGAACCATACCTTCTCATGATGTGCCCAAAGTAGGACAGTGTCAGTTTTGCATTTTTTCCTCCAGTGATATTTCAGGCTTAATTTGTTCTAGGATCCACTTGTCTTCCTGGCTCTCCAGTTCGCCACCGGCAGATCTTGAGATGTATTAGTCTCCACAGTTATGTGAACCAATCCCTCATAATTCTCTCCACCCCCACCCCCACCCCTGATATGTAGTCTGTTTCTCTGGAGAATCCAGACTAGTACACAGCTGCAGCTTCCCTCCTTAGTCTCTGGTTTTCCCAGCACTGCTGTCTATTCTGCATTCATAATCCTTTTGGCCTCCT